AAGGATCTTTTGTAGCTTATAGATCCTGACAGGTGATAAATGCCCATAATACCCATTAAGGGCTAATCCAATGCACGAATTCTTTTTCCTCCACTCTCATCATCACTTTATCCTCTTTATCGTCACTGTTATCCTGAACATTGCTAGAGCACATTCCATATGTCAAAGCACATTTGAACATTTTTGACTAAATAGATGAAGAATTATACCTGATGTTTATTATAGTAATCATAACATTGATTAATATAATGATTCTCAAACTTCCATGTGCATATCCATTGCCTGGGGAGCTTGTTTAAATGTAAATTTTGATCAGTAAGTCTGGGGTGGGACCCAGTAATTTTCATTTTTATCAAGCTCTCAGCTGATGCCAGTCCTGCTGGTTTGTGGACCACCACTTAAGTAGCAAGGGAGTAAAGTTTGAGTGCTTACTGTATACCATATACCCTTAACCATAAAATTACCTCATAAGAAAGAGCGAGTAGAAGGCAGGTTTTAGAAGTAAGAAAATGATGTAGCCTTGCCTGGAACCCGAGTCTTCTGACATCGAGCTGGTTCTATCTTCTACTGTTCCTGAGTATTCTCTGAACCTGTTCTCTGCTCTGGGAAGGTGGGCAGCTTTTAATTTATGATATTTTCACAATGTAATATTCAGTCCCAAATACAATTCTTTCAAATTTTCTTTCTAAATATAAATCCAAAAATTCAGTTTCTTTCAAAACCAACATGAATATTGTAGCCTCTAATGTGTGGAACCCAAATAGACAACACAATGTTCATGCTTTCTTTCTTTTTTTTTTTTTTTGACCGCCTGTTTAAACGTAATATATTTAGCTAAACTATACACTCATGGTCTAATGCATTTTATCCTTGCGGATTCTGTGACACTGAATCTCTATCCCTTGCTTTAGCGGAAGGTCTCATTTCTATTCCTGGAGCTCACAGCATTCCATTTGACATTTGATGCCCTTGAGATTTTTATAGAATCTAGGTTATAAGACTGAGTCTCTTGCCACACAGTTTTGAATAGGGATCTGTGTTACTTCTCCCAGAGGTGTCCTGCCTTATACTTTTCTTTGAAATGGTTTTGATTATTTAAAAAGAAGTCTCCAAAGATAAAACCTTTTGCATAATAGTCACCAGCAGCTGGAGAGCTTTTCATTTGTTCTGAAGAGAATTTATTCAGAGGAAAGAAAGCGATAGTGGCCCCCTCTGCTATTCATAACTCAAAGCAAAAGACCATATTAATGTTGCAGTGATAGAATGAAAAATGTTTTCTACCATAAACTTCAGTGTAAGTAGATATTCCCTTATGTTTTTGAAAAGACAAATCAGTAAATGTCTTTAAAATGAATAGCACATATGACTCAACACAAAGGCTTTAGTTCAAATGCAGTGTGCTAAAAGTTGGCTTTCTTGTCCTCCTGACAAAAACATGCATCCATATATATAATAAATATATAATCAACTTAGGTAATTTATTGAAAATGGGCTCATCTAAATTATTTTATTCCCAGAGATGGACAAAAATTGATGGTAAGATGTTTAGTGTTTCATAAAATGATATGTTCTAATAAAATTGTTACTGAAGTTTTATATTTAGCACAAACTCACAGTAATGATAGGATATCTGCTGTGTATCTGTCTATATATGCTGGCCAAATTGACCTACTTAATCTTAGATTATATTTAGAAATAACTGTTTTTTATATAATATAAATGATAAAATATTCAAAATACACTTATTATAATGACCACTTTAAATTATACACATCTATCAATAGTAATTTTTTTTATTCTGAAGTTTCTTCCACTATTTAGAATGGTGACTGACACTTAATAGCTGCACAGAAAAAAAAATGCTTATAGAAAAAACAAGAGTGTATTAATGTTGATTAAGCCAAATGAAGATAATCTTTAAACAAATAATTTATAATAATTAATAATAATAATAATAATAATAAAAGCAATAATAAAAAACTAACATTGGGCAAGTTTTCCCACATGCCCAACACTGGCTAAGAATAGCAATAAATATTATTTTGTTTAATCCTCACAAAAATATGGCAAAATATTACTTTCCCTCAGAAAAGTGAGATTTTATAGAGTAATCTCCCCAAATAACATAACTAGTAAACCTTAGATCTCACCCTCAGACCCAGATCTTCATGGCTGCAATCCCCCCACCAGCCACTATACTCTTTCCATCTATTAACTTTAGTTTAGAACTTGCTTGAGTGCAAAACCCAAACAGAGTCACCTGTTTGGTATCAGGGAGAGCCTACTTAAAGACTCTTGAATTTAACTTGATAGAATAAAGGAAGAGTGCTTGCTTTTATAATTACATAAACATTTGCATCATTTAAATTCTTGCCTTTCCTAAAGATGCTAGGTAAGATTTTAGTCTTTATTCAGTTTGTTCATTGTCACAGCTATTGTCATCACCACATAACTGCCATCATCCTTAGTACTGGGAGACATAGTGTTGAGTAATTACTCTGTTCTAGGTGTTGTGCCAAGTTATGACCCTCTGTAGATTTAAGTCATTCATTGCTTTCTAGTCATCAAACATGATTTTTTGGCCATTATAGGCCAGGCATGATATGCCCAGTATTAAAAAATCCATTAACATGTGAGACAATATTATAGGTGTATTTTGAAGCAATAATGCAATTAATTGCTTTATTAAAGTTAACATCACCAAGAAAACTGAGAAGTAAAACATCATCTTTCTATTATCATTCTCCTAAGAAATGAGGCCGAGAGGTTTATTTGTCTTAAATTTTATAAGCTGATTCTAAAATGCAGAATCATGTAGTTACTTTTCAGTTTGCCAAACTGATTATCTAATGAGTCCATGGCAGGTTTGATATTTGAGTGTTGGCATGCAAAAGCTGATTTACGTTGATAGCTGAACTGAGAAAGCAAAGAAATACATAATCACAGTGCATCCTACTTATCACATTGTCTTTCGTATGTTGCCCACGTTACTGCTTTTCTTCAGAATGAATTTTGTTTTTCATAAGATGTATTTATTTACTTCCAATGCTTATACAGTCCTCAAAATAAGTACAGTAAGCTGGCTAAGGAATCACCATAGTTGGACACATTACTTTTTATAGTTGGTTGTTGACTGCACACCGACACCATTTGGTCAGTTCACTAATAATTCTCCTGTTTTGACACTGTTTCCATCATGAAATGCGTGCCTTTGTATCCAGGTCTCCTGGAGCCTTACCACTTGCTTCACACAGCTTTCACGGAAGATGAGGGTACCAGCAGAGCCTTAAAAATCCTCTCCTCAGCTTTCATGTATTCTTTCTCCTGTCTGTTATTATGTTTGTTATTCTGTACCATCGACAGGATTTTAAAAAAAAAGTCCAAATCAGAAGAAATTGATTATCTAGATAGGGAGATTGATTTTCACTTGTTTGCTTTTGTTTTGTGATGTTTATTATTGTTTTCTGTTTGAAATTGATACCTCTGTGATATTACAGTCCGTATGTTTCATTGCATTGAAGTTGATTTAATATATCAAAGTTCTGAAGTTTGTATCTTTCAGCCAGAGTCAACTAGGAGTGTACTTGAAATTGGAGGTAGTAAATATATTTATTTTAAGCCCCTTTCATTAGAGGTAATTTTAGGCTTCCCCAACTTGAGTTTTGTGACAATTCACTAAAGGTCAGCTGAAACTAAAATTTATATTACTGGGATTGGAAGTATTCTGTAATTCAGATTTCCCATAATGAATTCTGTTTTAATGAGCATTGCTAATGAGATTCGAACTTATTTTGAAAGCTTTAAAAATGACATCTTATAACAAGGTCATAAATTTTTGTCTGTTGAAAGCCAAGTGAAATCATATACTTTTACAATCCAAGTAAATGTATTTTTCTATTCACACACTCCCAACAAATTCCATTCTGATGTCAGTGGCAAATATTGTCACTACCATAATCTGTGGAGAGAAGAGATTAGATAAGTAGGTTGAAGAAATAGAATAATGCTGAGAAATTAAATTATTGTAAAATTCTGTGTTTAAGAATTGAAGCAATATTGCTATTTTTCTTAAGTTTATCAATAAGCCAGTATTTTTTAAATCAAGATATTATGTCTATGTAAAGACCATTCTCAGTGCTATCTTCCCCTCCCCATAAATGTTGTCTTTATTAGGTGCTGAATATAATAAACATTTTTAAAAGTTTCTAGGTTAAAAAAGAGCAGTGTAAGGAGTACATACTCCTCTGATAGGCTCAACAAACGGAAGTATGGTTTGCCACCACTGCTAAATGGGTCCAAAGCAGTTGGTGAAGCAAATTTATTAAGTAATTAGATTATTTTAGAATAGAAATTTCAATGCAAAGATCTGTCTTCTAATTTGCTCATTTTATGGGCAAAACTGGCTTATTGTGTATATTGGTATATATTTACAAAAACCAGTCGGTTGAAACTGTTTCTTTCTAAACAATCATTTAATCCGATTTGGTTAGGAGAAGACATTATTTCAAGAGCTCACTTAATGTTGTTTGGAGGCTAACAAAGGACTGTGATGTGTAATTTTTTAATCCTTATTCATTGCATTATTTTTGCTAAAGTCACTAGTGAAGATAGAGTCAGGATTTTTAAAAATCCAGTCTTTGCTCCATAGTCTTACATGTGTGATGCGTTTTTAAGTATCTATCAACTATTTATAGCATAATTACAGCTACATGTTTTTCCAACATTGACTTACTAATAATAACTAATTGAAGAAAGTGTTTTCAGGGTGGGATTTCCTGAGATTCATGGCTTTTGGGAGGAAAGTTGGGCAAAGTATTTTGAAAACTTCAGTAGAGCTAAGTGTACTGTGGGATAGGATGGTTTCTGTGAATGTTGGAATGAAGACTGGCCCATTTACTGGGACCATGCAGGATGAGGGGTCATTGTCAAGCCTGTTCCCCGCTGAGCTGCTTTACAATTCCTTCTTTTGTAAAGGTGTCCACCTCTGTCTTGTCTTTCAGTCCTCCACAAGCAACCCAGAGAAGTGTGTCTCTGTTTGCTAGAGCTTGGCCGGATTGCAGCCAGGTAGGTCACACTGCTGCCACAATGTCAAGACGTGGACCGTCTCAGCATCCAAGCAGCTGAGAAGCTTGCTGGCTTTTCATTGCTCATGTTTAATCTGGATGGTGAAAAGTGACTCCTTCAAATATGATCAGTACAAACATCTCAAGAGCAGTTGTTCAAACTGGAAGTGTACCCCCAGGATTCTTAATATCATCGCCTTATTATCAAAGTCACTATGTTTAAGCATTTGCTAAATATCCTTTCATTAAGTACATTTCCTTTCCCCAACTCTTTCGTAGGAGGTAGGCGAGGCTCTTGTCCATGAAGTTGTATATGACAATTACCCTTTCCTTGGTAGGAACCCTATTCCCTTTTACTTACTTTCCCATCTCCTTCATCCCTCTCTTCCTGTTTACTCTTTAATAATTTCCAACTTTCTTTTCTTGTTTCTTTTTCTTCATTTTTTCCATTGAACATCTCATCCCTTAGCTCTTTTAGTTTCTACTTCTGAGTAGGGGTGGGTGGCAGTTTTAAAATGATTCTCCATCTTTTGATTAGAAAAAGACATAGAATATTATCCTTCATAGGTAGAGACATCTTTGGAATCTTTTTCTTCTAGAAAAAAAATAGTGATTGTGGAAATCACAATCATAGCTAAACCAGCAAAGACAGGGACTTATTAGCATAGCCGAATTGATTTGGTTTCATGTCTTCTCCTTTACTACATTGCAAATCATCAAACAAGGCTTCTGACAGGTTTATAAAGCTCAGAGAAGTAGAAATGAAGAAATAACGGTTAACTTTGGAATTAATTGGAAGATGTTTTCTCATCCAGATCTGGGTATACTTTTAGCATTGAGATCAGATGAACCAGAAAGCTATAGTAAGAGCTAACTCTGGATGTTCTCAAAGAGAAAGCTACAAAGAAAATCCAGGAAAGGGAAATACAAGGTGTGCACATCAGCAAATTACAGCAATGAATAGAAAACTTGCTGCCAGTGAACAACCTTTTTTTTTTTTTGATCCAATGGGAAATTAGCCCATAATCAGAGAAGTAAGCCCAACTTCTTTAAAGCATCATAGTCAACATAATCTTCACAAATTGTACATCAGGTATAAGTTTTACTTTATCATAATAATTGGGTAAGAGAAAGATTGTTTTAATTTAAAAAAAATAAAATTAAATATGACTGAGGCTTCGCTCAACAAGGAGTGAAAAAAATCAGTCTGAGACATTTAGGGATCCCCCTGCTTCCCCACACCATTCCCAGATGTACGTTGTGTGGCGGCCTCTGGAGAGGGTCCCCAGTCTTCCAGCCACTCAGGTCTCTGCCACTCAAGCACAGTTCATAGTGTCTTGCTGTTTCTTAGGACCCCATTCCCTGTCAGTGCTGTCACTTCCTTGGGTTCCAGGAGGGAGCAAGACAAAGATGCCTGTCCCTCTTAGGACTCTGCTGATTCAGTCTTCCACCAAGTTTAAGGCTACTGACCTGCAGGACAAACGAATTTGAGTCAAACGACTCAGGCTCACGTCCTTGGGCTTAACAAATATCCCATAAGAAAGGTGAAGTTAAAAATACAGGAGAAGGGAAAAAAAGAAAAAAATGAAACAAACAAACAAACAAAACAACAACTGAAAAAAGAAGAAAAAATACAGGAAGGAGGAATACACACAAAGTAAAATCAGTAAATGAACTGATGCCCCTGAAATGTTAGAGTAAAAGAAAGTTTGTCTAGAGTTCCTCTTTAATAGAAGCCTGGGCAGAAGACATTTCATTTAGTTGTTTCTTTAATTACATCATTAGAATATTCTGAAATGCCAGATCCCATTTTTTTGCCTTAATAATCGAAATATGTGGATCAAATTGGCATCCTGAGCTTCGTGATCTAGAGGTGGAAAGAAGTGGCGTGGCTACAGGATTAGCTGGGGGTTGTCATTTTCCTCCTGTTTAGTGTACTTTATTTGTCTGCCTTCTGGATTTCTTTTCTTTCTTTTTTTTTTTTTTGTAATTATACTTTGTGTACTACCTGCACACTCTGTTAGGAATCCTGCTGAACTAAACCTTCAACTATGACCGAGTCATCAAAGGAGAAGGCATGTTACCCAGTGATAAAATCCCCTTAGAAGTTACCTCTCCTCCAGTTCTGACTTCGGCATAAATTGACCCTTGCTATGGTGTATAAAACAAATTAATATCTTGGTTAACAAAAGGGAGTCATAATGGCCTGGTCAGTTTGAAGGTGAAACATTATATGAAATGTTTTGCGGGGGGATTTTTTTTCCCCCAGATATTTTTAAATTGAGATTCTGGACTACGCCATTTTTTAAAGCCACTTTATTGAGATACGAGTGACACACAAAAATCTGTACATACTTAATGTCAACAACTTGCTGAGCATGGATATAAGTATACATCAATGAAACCATCACCAACCACCTCTCTGCCACAAAGGTACCTACCACCTCCAAAAGTTTCCTCCTGCCTCCTGTATTATTATTATTATTATTATTATTATTATTATTATTATTATTAGTGATAAGAATCGATTGCAACATTTCTGACTGCACTTTATGACTATGTGAACTGATAAAAGCAGAGATTATTCACATTACCCCCCAAAATTACTAATTTCTCAAAGCAATTATCTAAGGATTAAGACAACACATTACAATATTCAGCATGTAAATTTTGCTTTTTATCTTCTTCACCTACTTGACTGGTGTGAAGTATTTGACACTTCTACTGAAAAAGAGAGAATATGCTAAGAGACGATTCGGGGTATTACTTTCACATGCTGCATAAGGTTCAACAGCTGAATATCAATTGGACAGATTGAACATTTAAGTATAAATGTCTATTTAAGTTTCTCTCTGTACACATTTGAAGTTTTTTTTCTTAATTTTAGTGAAAGTTCAGTTGTGCTTTACAATCAGCAACTCTAATAAACTCAAATGTCTCTACCTTAGCCCCATGTTGAAGCATAAAAGCTGAAAGAAAAAAAGAGAAGTGCATCATCCCCATTTTATTTTATTCCTCAGTTTTTCTTTGGCTGTATTAAATCTTTACTAGATCATTGCATTTGTGCTTCCTTCTCCCCCTACTCCTCTACAGAGGATTACATAGATTATTGAAATAAGACAGAGTTGGCCAAAACTAGAAGTGATTTTGGGAGCACTCTCAAGAACCACAGCATTCATTTGTACACACAGCAGATGATATTTGATTGTAACAAAGCAAGTTCCCAATACAATCTTGTGAATTTTGTGGGTTTTACCCAATAGCGGACACGTTTTTATATTTGATTCTAAATATTTACTTCTCAAAATGGCATAGATACCATCTTAAAATCATCCACATCACTTCAGAAAAGATTCACAAAATGTTTCTGATTCTCTGCCGTCATGTCTTGCCTGGAAACACTTTGTGAAGCTCCTTAGAGAGCCGTAGACGTCTCTGAATTCTGAGAGGGGAGTGAGATGACTTATTTTTGTTCTCATGGGCCACAGTTCCCTTTATTTTCAACTAAATAGAGTGATCATCACTGGAGAGTGAAATCCCTCCGTTAATATTTCAGAAACCATGTCAGTTTCTGAGTGTAAAAGTTGCACGTTTGCCTTCTGCAAAGTAAACCACTTAGCAAAACCAGGTCATTAAATCTCAAAGATCTTTTTAATGAGAGTGTTTTGATATTCATTGCTAAAAAAGTTGCTATGAATTCAGCTTTTCAACAGACTGCAGAATTAAGATTAGCTTTGCGATAAGAGTTAAACAAAAAGAAAGCGCTTTTGATATTTTGGTTTGGGGCTATGATCAACTGTCAGCATCAGAGGGAAGCTTTTTTGTATTTTTATTTTTGACTGCTTCCTTGATTTTGAACAAAATTTATGACCATTCAAAAGAAATATGCTTTGTGGATATTTTCGTTAGTCTCCTATTTCAATCCATGCCCCCAGTGAAATGTTACTTAAAATAAAATATTCTTATACAAGGCTTAATAATTAACTCATCCTTTTTAAAGAGCTTGACTCTGACTGCCAAGAGTAAAACTTGTTTTCACATGAGTGAAATTTCCTTCCAAATTTAAATATATCTTTAAATTACTTTAAAGCAGAATAAAAAAATGGGCCAAAAACTCACTTGCAAGAATCTATAAGCTGTCTGTTACATGCCTTAAGAAGGGGGAATGTCTAAACTTTATCCCTCCAACTCTAGTAAAATAGGTCCCAGATGTCTCTCCTTTGAAAATTATAGTCTGCTTAATAGTTTGAGTACATTTTCTAGTGCAAGGCTCAGTTTGGGGACTCAAATTATTTCATCTAGACCAATCTCAAAAGTTACATCAGGTGCCAGAAAAATGAGAAGTCTATTCCTAGGATCTTATCATCAAGTCATTAACCATGGACCCTTTCCCTAGCACTTTGCATTTTTCAATGAGCCCATAAAAATGATAATAAAATGTTGCCATTTCAGTGTTCTCCCTGCTTTCATATCACTGGAGTATACAGATGTGAAGATTTGATTTTAGTGTATTCAACCTTCTTGCTATTTTTAGTTGACCCTTATTCAGTTTGAAAGCAGTAATTGTCCCCGTCCCCTGAAGCTTTAAAATTTTGTAGTTGGAAAAGAGTGAAAAAAAAAGTGTAAGTTTTGAAAACCTTATAGACAAAATCGAAATATAAAGTGGTATAGAGTTAATCACGGAAACAGAATGAAGCAGCTTTTTGGAGAGCGAAAAAGGAGACCTATTTGGTGACTAAGTTGGCTTCAGGTGCGGGCCCACAACCCAAGGGGAATTTCATGATTTACAGCCTGTTGACATCTCCAGACAGACAGGAAGCCAATGAATCGTATTTAAGTGTGGATTTCAGGACTGGCTGACTATACCTTAGGCAGCTTCAAGTATTCAAAAGCCAATATAAGCAGAGATTTGGGGTTTAGTGTTGATTTTCTATGTTCAGTGGCATAGCTAATTTTCAGCATTCTCAGGTAAAGAAAAATCTCCAGGGCAAAATTTTCCATGTATGACTTTGTTACCAACTTCATTTGAACTTAGTCTGCTTTGTATTGGACATGGAATGGAGCCTGTTGTTTCTGTAATATTTCTTATTGTTTCACTTTGTTAAAAAAAAAAAAAAGAAGAAAGAAAAAGAAAAAATTGTGCAACCAACCTCTTCCTGAAAGGTGGCATGAATCCATCTACAATTACAAATGAAATCATATTTTCCAATTGACTTAATTTATACTTTAAAATATGATGTTTTCACTTATGACTGACTTTTAATTGGCTGTGAATTCAAGTGTGTTAAATTCCTCTAGCTTCCCTGCCCAGTATGTGTTATTCTGTTAAGAATATTAAACAGAAGAAAACATTACACCTTGATGGAACTAAAAATTCAAGGAAGTCTAGAGGGATTAAAAAGAGTTGTCTGCTGAAGTTCTGCCAGTGAGTTAGTGGCAACGCTGAATTTATAGCTTGTTCTGCCAGGCTCCAGCACTGAGATATTTCTGCTGTTCCACAGCTCTAGGAAAATTAATTTCACGAAACCCTATAAGCCTGTATACTCAGTTCTTTTGTAAAGGATACAAACAATAGTAATAATATGTAACAATAGTAACTACACTACTTTACATGTTAATGTTGAGGCTGTTACATTATTTCACTGGATGGTATAATATAGTGTAAAAAATTAAAACTTTGGCAGAAGGACCTCAAGGCTGCAGGTTCCTAGTTGAGCGAATTTGATGCATCAATTATCAAGTCATCTCGGTGGTGGTGCCGTGCATCAGGCCTATACTGGGCATGTAATGGATGCTGTTTTAATTCCTTCTAACAATAATGAAACACAGGGATTGGAATCTCCATTTTACAGTGAAATAAAACTGAGGCTCAGAAATCATGTATGTCAAGGTGCCCAAATGTTCCAGACACATGGAAGACATTCAATACCAGTTGTTCTTCTAACATTCTACCTCCCCCACCCTCCCCTGCTATGTCAGACCTCTACGGCAGGCCATTTTCCCCTTTACTTTCCTGATAGGAAACAGACTCTTAGAGGTTAAGTGATTTTGCTAAATTTAAAGAGTAGGTTAATGGCAGAGTTAGCTCAAGTCTGCCTCGGGGAAGAATGCTACCCAAACCCCCAGGTGAATATTGTTGGTACTTGTTGGTAATGAGCTGCTGTGCTATGTGTAATTAATGAATGCTGGAGAGTTAAAAATGATAGGGTTTAAAGTCTTCTAGAAGAACATTTTTTGAGGGTAAAACATTTGATGTATTTTGTTAAAGTGATATGCAGTGAAAGATCCAAAACAGTGAAATCTAATTCACCTTTGGAACCTGAAATCATTGTTATAGGAGAATGCAGGATTTTTCTTTTTTAATTCAGCAGTAGCTATTAAGTAGCTGCTGTGTGCCAGAATCTGTGCTCTCTGCTGGGGATGCTGTGAATCAGACAGTGGTCTCTACTGTTACAGAATCTGCAGTCTATTGCAGTTTCTACTAATGTCCCGTGGACTGGCTAATAGGCATAGAAGGTTAGAAATATGATACATAGTGCCTCGGTCTTTTAGCTAATGATTTCTGCTAACTCAGAATGACTCTGGTCACTAGACGCAGTCATCAGAACAGCAATTGTTATTTGAGTTGTGCCTGCTTAAACTGCTTTGTACTGAATTCTAACTCCTGTAAGTTTTCCAGCTCTCACAGGGCACCTGCCATCTGTGTGGTGATGTCAGTTAAAATAACAAGCCATGAGAACAGGACGATAACCTCAGCTTTTACATTAATGATGTTTTAATATACTATTCACTCACTCTAAGGTACTAGACATATTGCCAACACATTTATCCTCTCTACATAGACTATTTACTTTATAGATTATCCATTACCTTTTTTTTTTAATTTCCAAGTGACTTTTTTCTTTGCTTTCTAACACATGATCACCTACTTAAAATATCAGAGAAAATCTGGATTTGCATTTGCTTTGTCCTGCTGCTTAGCTAGTTCTGTACCTTCTCTGGATCTGTTTTATTTATTCTGTAAAAATGAAAGAGTATAGCTACACAAACCCAAAGGTCCTTCCTGACCCTCAAATTCTGGAGTTATCTTTGGCTTCCTCCACCTGGGTAAAATTGATATGGATCTCGGAATACAAATCGATTTTAAATTTAGCCTAAGAGAAATATGATTAGGGGAGGTAAGAATGCTGTTAACAACTGCATCTCTCTCTTTGAACTTCTGTGGCACTTGTAATTTACAACACATAATTAAGAAAAAAAATTGTTATTCCAAATTGTTCTCTATTCATTTTCTTTCCTGGTAACACCGTACATGCTTTCATTGTGTGGTTCTTAAGTGTATTGACCATTCTACATGGTTCTGGGTCCATAGAGGTATACAATTAACAGTGAATTTCTTCTCTGTTAATTCACTTGAGGACATTTATTTTTGGGAGACTGCTGTTTTCAACTTAACTCTTTGACTCTCTGATTTTCTTTCCTTCTTTAACAAGCTTGTATTCAAAATAGGAATTCAATTACAGCACTAATTTCATTAAAGCTAGTAAATCTGAAAGCTGAAGACTGAAATACATTGTAATTCATGTTATTGAGTCATTAATATATTACATGGAGTAGTTTTATTTATTTTTAGTATGATATTATATCTGTTCACATATATGCTCATTTATAGATAAACGTGTGTATGTATATGTAAGTGCATATGTATACATGTGTTTTTCCCTGCTTAAAATGATGCCAGTTTAAAAATCAACCATTTCAACGCCAGAATAAGAAGGTTGTTTTGAAGAGTCAGCAGTCTGATCCTATGCTGCTCATAACTGAATGCAACATATGGTTAAATGTGTCATTACAAGTTATGCACATGTATTGATCTGGTGTCTTTTAAAGGTATGGGGTGGAGCCTCCTGGTTTGATAAAATTGGAAAAAGAGATTGAACAAGAGGAAACACTCTCTGCCCCTTCTCCTTCACCTTCGCCTTCCTCAAAGTCTTCTGGAAAAAAGAGTACGGGAAACTTACTGGATGATGCAGTAAGTAAAATGGGTCAGAATTCTTACCAGCATTTAGTTCTTTTCGAACTTCAAAATTCATTCTGTACAACCTCTTATCAGTCTAAGCTTTACCTTGTTCAGTGTTACTGAAATTTGTTGTAAAATCCTATGAAAAAGCTTGTAATCTTGCCATTCATTTTGAAATTCAAAACTGAGCCCTTATTGAAAACGAAAGTGTCACTTAACTCTGTGGAGTAGTAGCTAAAATTTTAGGATAATAAGTCAGATTCCAGAAACCTGTCTTTGAGAACACTTAAGCCTTGATACTATTGGTTCATGGTTCCTTATTTCATAGATAAGAAGCGTGAGGGTTGAGATCCTGAGATCATTAAAGAAGGAAAAGCAAACATACCATGGAAAAGATAAGTGCCCTTTATGGACTGCCAGCTCTGGGCCAGGGTCTGTCTGCAGTGTTCTTCAAGTGCTCTTGCCATCTGTAAGGCAGGTGTCTAATTGAAGGACCTGAGACTTGAAGTTGGATTACCTGCCGAGAGGAAGAGCGGAGCTTAAATTCCAACCCAGTTCTGTCTGACTCTCAGAGGTCACCATCCCTCTACTTAGCAGAACCCTTGAGTCACCGTCTTTGGCAGATTAGGAAATGTTTCTATTCTACCTTCATCATTACAGAAAACAGGTTCTGAGTGTAACAGCAAAACAGGATGAATGAAAGTGATCTGTTGACTCTTCTAAGCCGTTCTTGGTTACAAGTAGTGTGTTTGATTATGTGTATGCATTTACTTCCTAGCACATATGTTTTGAGTGTAAATGTCAAAACTGCTTATGAGCTATACAAAAAAGTGGTAACCTTGGGGATGTTAAACTGAAGTATGTCTCACATTCACGGGAAACGTTCTTAGAAACTAGCACCAAACACAATGCCATTTAACGTGGGCTGGGCACTGAGAAGGGAAGCTGACACATAGCAGAGAGCTTCCTTCCCTAAAGTCTGAGCTGAAAAGAGCAGGGGAAAGGCTGATTGGCACTGGAGGATGCAGAAAGAGATTCCCCGACCTTTTGCTTTCCTCCATGTGCATTATAACCTATATTGTGGACTTAGGTGAGCAGACATATGATAATTTGTCTGACAGATTGAGAATTCCCATTTCTGCTAAGGGCAGCAAACTTAAACTTAGTCCAACAAGGTGTCTTAACCAATACCAGTTTAATTTAGTTCTCCTTTGTTCGGTTCACTCAGAAATTAAAGAATAGGCAGGACATTTTAATAGAATGCACCTAAAAGGGTTTTTAAAAATCACAGGATTGTGTTTAAGGATTGGGTGTATGCCTTGCATAATAATATTTCATTTTTATTTTGTGAGGAAATTGAATAACATTGTATTAATAGTAGCTAATGGCGCACTATTTATATATTGATGAGAATAATTTTTCTTCGTTCTCAATTATTTACTTTTTCAATTAGACTTACTTTAGAGTAGGATGTTCCTTTTAGTCTTTCTCTTATAAATGTGTTCTTCTGGGCCTACAACACTTGATCTTAGCCCTTTTCCTCTCAGCTGTTGCCTCCATTCACTTTCTTTAACACATTATAGTCAGAGGTCTGGCCAGCATTACCCTCAATCTCCTAATGTATGAATTACCGAATCAAGTGAATTTTTTTGGTCCTCAAATTAAGAGACCACTTTCTGGTGTTTGACACCACTTTCCACTCTGTTCTTGATATTCTTCTCCACGAACATTATTGCTACCAGAGTGATCAACTAAATGCAACTCGGATCTGATTCAAGTTATACAGGCTTTCTCTGTCATACCCAGGGTAAAGCCCACACTCATGTATGTGTCACATATAAGCCTTCCACGTTCTGGCCCATTTTATCTTTCCCAGCCTTGCACCCTGATGTGTCTATTGTAAACCTGTACTTAACCCCAAATTCCCAAGGACATTTTATACCCCATGTTTTTCCTCACTAACTTTCCTCACTCAACTGCTGCCGACTCATCTTTGAAATCTGCTTTTAGACACCTTTCCATCTTTGAAAATTCAGGTTCTCTGGCCTTCTGTACAAAGCTTTTCTTGGCGTCTCTCCTCCCAGGTAAAATGGACAAGTTAGGCCTTGGTACCCCAATGCTTTCTATATATTTAATCAAGTGTTTACCTTATTGGGCATAAACAGCTGTTCTTCTCTGGGCAGAGTCCTTGTTCTCAAAGCAAGGGCCATACTTCATCCATCTATATCGAGCACCATGCTTCTTGGATAACTTAGCAATGTGGGTAACCAGAGTTTAAAAAGGAGTCTCCCTGTTTCTATTCATTTGGAACAGCTATGGGCACTTCTCAGCTCCACTGTAGCTTTGCAGATGGAGGAGGTGTTGCTGCTTGAAGCCAATTTCATGAACCTGGGAAAAGCGGCTGGAACGGTTCCCTTTCTTTACCAGCTTGTCTCACGTGTAGCCACAAGAAGGGGAGAAAAAGGACAGGAGGCAGGAGGTGTTGAAACAACAATGAAAGGGATTTGGGGCAAGTGTTAGGAGTACTCCCGTTCAGGAGAGGCAGAAGGAGATAGGTCCTCATGAAAATGGCAAGACTGTCACTCTGGGGTTGCTCTGCCCTACTCCAACTTCTGTTCTCTCAGCTGGAAACACCGAAGGGGATTCCAGAGAAGCTTTAAAACCCCTTTAAAGTTTATCAAACAGAATTTGGGAACATAACCATCTGCTAGGTAAGAGGTTTTCATTGGATGGAAGAAATGTGCTAAGTGGGTATTTCTGTACTGCTGCCAGCTGGAATACTGTGTTCACAGCCCTTAAACCAGCATTCCTCAAAGAATGTTTAGTCAGACACTCACACCACCAGATGCCCCATGGGGAAAAGAATTCCATGGTTAGGTTAGTTTGAGACATACAGCTTACTGTAGCCCCTACCTAGCGTTTGGCAGTTCACCCTGGCATATCAAAGGCACTGGTGAGTTCCATAAGATCTTGTTTAACCTGGAATTTTCCATGCTTACTTGGCCACAGCAGCCTCTTACAGTCTCCTTCACTCTATGTT